TTGTCATATCTGTTCTCCTGCTGATCATCATCATCCTCGCTGTCCTCTGTCTCTACATCTGGTGAGCGGTTCAGCTTCACTGTGATAAAATGCAGATGTGGATCTTACATTCACACAGTCGTTGAATCACTTGATTTGATCATTGATTTGTTTTTTCATTCATTCTTCTGTGCAGGAGGAGAAGAATGTTCCCAGAACGGCCTGAACAAAGACCAGAGAACGACACTCAGGTGAGGAGGAAGAGCTCAGTGTGGAGGCCTGTTAGAACGTTCATCATATCATGAATAACTTAAATATTAATCCTGTTAGTCTCCAAAAGGTCAAACTATATCCACGTACACTCTGGTTGTACTTAATAATCTTAATGAATCTGTGTGCGTGTCCTTCTTGTACACAGCGTGCACAGTATCCACAGACACACGATGACAGTTTGTAGATGGAACTTCATTAACCTCAATGACCTTAATTACAACCATTAAACACATGAGACCTCCATGAGAACCTGTAGGGCCCAAAGGAGTCATTAGAGAACAAGCCCTGCAGATATTCTACTATCTGGTCCTTTGTACTTCAGTCCAACAATACTATTCAATAAGTACTTCTTGTTCTTTGATGCAGATCCCACCAGCGGAGCCTTGCTATGCTACCGCGAGCTTCTCCAGAAACCAGGAAGATCTTCTTCTCTACTCCAACGTCAGTCCAGCTCGCCCCCCCAGACGCAAGGAGGAGGTGGAGGAAGTTCTGTACTCACGTGTCAACTTTGAGAGTTCTGGTGCTGCCAGCGAGTGAGTCAGTGACGATCTTTACTGAATATGGATCCGTCTCTGCTTTTATCATCACTGTTTTATTGCTGTTTAAACGTGTTAATGATTAATATCCTGAGTTTACGGTTCTTTCACAGACGGAGATGTGAAGGAGCTGAGGATGATTCTTCTGCTCTGTACAGCACCGTCAGCAAAGCACCAAGAGAATGAACCCACACAGATATGTGGTCTGTTACTGTACAGAGTTTAAGCAGCTTAAACACACCTGCATGAATATGAGGTTTGACATGTTGTATATTCACCATCGTTAAGGCTTCCATCAGAGAAGCCTCAGGGAGCCAATGGGAGGCCAGCTTGTAGTCTGTAATCAGCCTTTAAATGTTACTAATCAGCAATATGTTACTACCAGTTCTATACAAGCATCTTCAGGTACATTTATCTGTAAATAGTCTTTACCAATATTGCCAATATGCTTCTATTGATTCTCATAATGTTTACTGAAGTTTTTGTTTTGTATGAGAACTTGTCTCAACTTAAAATGGCTGAATTGGACTTTCAGAGTGTTTTAAGCACCTAGTGGTAGAAATGATAATGTAGAAATGTTTAGGGTAGAATTGTAGTTGTGTGTTAGATATTAGTTATTACATTAGCATGTTAGATGAAGTGAGTGCAATATGAATCAAACCCAATTCATAGTCGTTATAGTCTTATAATTACTGCACGCATTTACCTGCTACAATGTAACGTTAAGACTCGGAGACGGATGCTAATTGCCGTCCTTGATGGATTCCAAAGAGTTTTTTCTCCTGTCAGGTAGTCCATCCATCCATTGTCAGACCGCTTATCCTGCACACAGGGTCGCGGGGGGGCTGGAGTCCATCCCAGCTAACTTCGGGCGATAGACAGGGTACACCCTGGATTGGTCGCCAGCCAATCGCAGGGCAACACAGAGACAGACAACCATTCACACTCACATTCACACAACTACGGGCAATTTAGAGTCCCCAATTGACCTGATCCCCAGAGCATGTCTTTGGACTGTGGGAGGAAGCCGGAGAACCCGGAGAGAACCCACGCAGACACGGGGAGAACATGCAGACTCCACACAGAAAGGCCACTGGGTGGAATCGAACCCAGGACCTTCTTGCTGTGAGGCGACAGTGCTAACCACCGCGCCACCGTGCCGCCCCCTGTCAGGTAGTAGATGAGCAAAGTTTGTACGACAGCCCTGCGAGGCAAACATTCTGATTTTGGTTCATATAGAACTGAGTTAAACATAATGGTTAAGATGTGATGATCTAAGATGTGTTAAGTTTACTCGCTATTAGATGATGAGATTATGATGCTTTATTATTACGTTTGTGAGGAAGCTTTAGGCCAAAGGTCTGATCATTGAATGTACTGTAGTATGAAGTGAACAGGGATCGATCAGGTCACTGAGGGATCTCAGATTCAACCATCAGAGGGAGTCATGGGGGGGAGGATGGTTTGGGGACAGAGGATGTCACACGTGTACAGACTTTAAAGCCCTCTGAGGCACATTTGTAATTTGTGATTTTGGGCTTTTTAAAATGAAAGGAATTGAATTCTCCTGTGGTTTTGGAGCAGATGTGTAACAGATGTGTTGTGGGAGAAGATTGTAGATGATCAAGTAAACCTCAAAGTGGTGATTACCACTGGTAGTAAACCTCATTTGCAAAGGAAGTGGCTTAACCTGAATTATAGTTATTTTTGAGCGGTGTTTTAAAATGACTACTTCTCTCTTGATTTATTTCCTCAGTAAACATTGTAAACATGAGTTTATGGTCTCAGTCTCTAGTTTCAAGTCTTCAATACAACATGATGTTCATTTAGTAAATTATGGTCCATTTAGAGTCAACTAAACACATATTTATTCCGTTTATACGCTCTGCATTGTGGTAGATTTCTCTAGTTCTTCCTTGTAGTTCTTCCGTGTCAGACCTCAGTGAACATTTGTTCATCTCAACTCGGGGGTTTACAGCCAGCTGCTTATGCATGGTAATTATCTAAAGGGGAAGCAGGACTTTTTCATCAGCTGATAGACACACGTTGTCTTTCAGTCCCACGTCCCTCTCTTGGACAGCTGATAGTGGAGGACGTGTTTAAACAGAGACGGATGAGCGGAGGAGCTGAGAGTGGATCAGTCATCTTCCTCCTGTCTGCATTCATATTCATCACATTTATATCTGTATCACAGAGTCTGAGTCGCCATGAAGGCTTTTATTAGGAACACGGTTGACCAAAATACTTAGAAAGTTTCACTTCCCCCTTTGTCTCTTTCTCTGCACCGTCACACCCCAACGCTCACCACAAACACCACCATTTTACTTTCTGCTAATTACTATTCAGTTTCCTTTTCTCTATAGAAAAAGATGTGCACCTGCACCCCTTGTGCTGTGATGAGTGTGATGGTGGTTTGTAGTTTCTCTTCCAGTCATTCGGGGTCAGGGTGGCTGCAGAGTTACTTACGGTTCCTCTTGGATCTGTGGATTAAACGGATCCACCCCCCCCCCCCAGAACCAATGAGGGGGTCACTGCTTTACCGACAGGCAGCACAGACACCCGGTGGACCTGAGAACGGACCCGGGACACGCAGAGGACAGTTAGCTTAGCATACCGCTGCTCTCTGAGGATCAGCGGCCTGAGAGGCGGCGACTCGGCTGTGTACAGGTGTGCTGTGTTCATGTTCACCACAAACCAACCGGACAGGAAGTACACCGGCGAACCGGGGGTCCGTCTGTCCGTCACAGGTAACGGATCCAAGCGCTCAACACTTGGGAAGCTGCTGGTGTCTCTGAAGGGATTCTTGTTTCATGGTTTTACAAATGCAGGTGGAGATCAGCAGATCAATACCTTTGTCACGAAGCGGGTGCAGGCAGAGGCAGGACTCAAACGCAGAGTTTTGGGAAACAACAAAAAGACTTTAATGGTCAAAATTCCAAAATCCAAAAATGCCAAGGGGCTAAAAAAACGCAGGGGACCAGGAACGAAGAACCAAAGGATCCACAAACATGCAGACACCGAGGCGACAGGAGACGCACAGGGCTTAAATACACTGGGAAGGTGCAGGTGATTGGACACAGGTGGAAACAATCACAGGACAAGGTAGGAAGTGAAGTTACCCGGGGGACACGAGGGGCAGAAAACTACAAAATAAAACAGGAAACAACCCAAACCGTGACGACCTTGTTGTGGAAAGTGTACATCAGCAGACCTGACGGGTCAGAGCAACCGTCCTCGACCTCGTCCAACCTTCTACAGCTGGTACAAGAACGGAGACAAAGTGATGATGAAAGAAACAAAGATATGGGGCAACTTTTATTCTTTTTTATTCTTTTTCCAGGTCCTGCAACAAAGTGACGTCATCATTCAGTGGACATTTCTGACTTCTAGATATATCACATCTAAGTTCTGGTGCAGCCCTCTGCATGGTGGTCGTTGGAAGCGTCTCGCTCAACCAAAGGACCTTCGTGAAGACTCCCAGGACGAAGGTCGCGTTGAGGTCCTTGATACCGAGAGAGGAAACACTGAGAATCAAAGACCTGAGAGAGAACGATTCAGCCGAGTAGCGTTTCATATTAACAGCATGGAGCTCTGAAGGGATCAGCGGTTTACCTGGAACCACTTTGACCGTCAAAGGTACGAAGAATAAAATCTATCAAATGCTCTGACAACATGTACCTTAGTCACTAAGATACAGTAATAGCTGCATGCATGGCTTCATACCATGAATGTTCTGTGTTGAAACACACACTGCTGCTGGATATTACCTTTTCTTACTGAATGGTTCACAGATCCAGATGTGCAGGCGCAGGTTGATCTGGTCTCCTGGGGGTCCGAAGCTGATTTGCCACAGCAGCTGGGCTCCTCATGGCCGCCCGTCCTTCGATTGGTACCTCAACGGAACCAGTGTGTGAGTCCCTCCCCCCTCATGACACGACCACAGCCGCCGGGATCCATGTGATGTCACTCACGCTGGCTGCTGAGGAGAAGGACGCGTCCACTGTGCAAGTGTTCCGGGGATGAAGATTGATGAACACACTAATAAATCTTGATGCGTTTTTCTGTGAGTGCAGGTTGAATGGAAGAAGAAGACGTCTATTGTGCTACCGGTGCTACTTTTCTAATGTTAGTTAAAGTGTTACCCACCTTCGCATCCCCCACAATGTTCTATGGTACATTGTCAGTGTAATGCTGCTTATGCGTGAAGCAAAAACACGTGTGTGTTGTCAGCTTTAAAGAGATGATGTAAGTCACTCTTGTTTACTGTGCACAACATTGATTCATCTCATTTACAGAATTTGCAGCATAATGTCAAGAAAAGAGACTCCAAAAGCAGGAGGACAGGGAAAATATCCTGGTCTGTTTTTGAAATGTATTTATTTATATTATTAATATTTTTAATTTCCTGAATAACTTTGGCAATGGTGCCCTTTTGTTTTGGGTTGAGCAATAAGAGAAATGGCTCAAAGGAGTGAAAAGAATGCGCTATTTAAACAGACTAACAGCATTTTACAGGCCGACTTGTTGTCATGGTGGAAAACAAGAAGTAGACGTAGTTGTCAAATTCCAAATGTTTTATTTTATTTTATATCTCAGTCCTATTGTACGATTTGGATGTAATTGAAGAAACAGTGTGATCCATGAAAAAGAGACGTGCTGCAATAAATAATGAGCTTTATGAGTGAATGTTCTACTTGTATCTCTTATGTTTAGTAACAGAATCATGAAATCAGACATTACAACTGATGATAATCAGTCCAATATTTCTGTCACCATTGTTGTTGATTTTGTGTGAGGGAAGCTGCCAAAACCGTCATGAATAAAATGTACATTTGTGTGTGTGTGTGTGTGTGAGATGCTGATGAGGAACCACAAAGCGGACCAGAAGATGGGCAGGATGCATTCTCTCTGGTTTATTCAGGTTCTTTAGGAAGAGTTCTGTTTGAAATTACAAAATGCACTGGTAGAAACAGATAGAGAAAGAAACAGAGCGAGAGAAGGAGATGGTGGGAGAGAGAGAGAGAGAGAAAGGAGGGTTTCATATCCAGAATAAACAGGAATAACATCACCAGATTCAGATTCAGGCAGCGCTTTACTCTCAAAGGGGGAGTTTTTCAGCGAGGAAAAACCTCCTCCTCCTCCCCCCTTTTTAAAATCATTTTTTAAACTTTTTTAATGTTAGTTAAAGTGTTATCCACCTTCGCATCCCCCCCACAATGTTTAAGCCCCGTGAAATAACTGGCGATATAACAAACAAACATTCTTTGATTTAATCACCAAAGTCATTTCCATTTATTTATTCTTTTATCAGGGCGATTTTTTTTCTTTTTTTGTTTTTAAAAATAGAAGAAAAAAAGAAACACATTGCTCTTAAAAACATCTATCTATATATATTTTTACATATATATACTTTTTTCTTTATATTTATTTATTTTTTTGATTCCTGAAGTTGACTTGTTACCCCACATAGTGGCATGCACATTGCACATGCAAATCTGTAATTAAATACTTCTCTTTTATCTTAAATTGCCGTGTATGTTTATTCTTTTATGCCCCGACTTGCTGAGTGGATCCTGTATGGTTTTCTACTGTGGCACTGGTTCGGTTTCTACTGGGTCGGATGGTCGGCATGGCGATGAGATGGATGCTTGGTGGTTGCTTCGGAGAGTTTCCCAATACATCTCGTTACAGTCAAGATAAGATTACAGTTTATTGTTGTTGTACTTTTACACAATGGTGTTTAACCCTTCGCACCACTCGATGCTTGATTATATATTTACTCTTTAAACATGGTTCAAGAGGGAAACGTCTGATCTGCAGCCGTTTACAGGTTTTAATCTATGTAGTTTGACACCTCAATCGTGGCTTCTATCAAACGATACTTTACCAAATATGTTTTTCCGATAATGATTGAACGGTTAATTGTGTCCTT